ACACACGGCACTGGTGGGATGCTCCAGGGACACACGCACGATCCTCTGCGGGGACATGCTGGCCTTGGACTGGGCTGGGGCCGCAAAACCCAACGCTGCCTACATACAGGCTCCTTGGCAAGTGGTTTAAAAGACCCTGGCCCTGCCCCTCCACCCTGGCACGCTAGCTCATTGGCTGCCGTCCTGGGAGTCGAGCCCCCTTCTGGAGCCAGGAGCTCAGGATTGGTTAGCAGCAACCTGACATTTGCATATAAACCTGTTGCCTCCAACCCAGCACCGAGGGAGTTAATTTCTGGCTTTAAAGAAGAGCAAGTCGCCACAGGTACCTGGACAGGGCACCAGGGCCTTGGGGGGGAGGTACAGACATGTGAAGTACTGGGTCCCTTCCTCGCTTTCCACCCCCCCTTTCCTGCATTTGCTTTAGTTGGGAGCTGCTTTACCCTGCTAGGGGAGTTGGTGAAATGCAGATTCCTGGGCCCAGCCTCCAGTCTGATGCATCTGGAATTTTTACGAGCGCCCCAAAGAAATGTGACGCAATTTGAGAAACACCAGCCTTTTTCCCGAGAGTGTGGATTTTAGAAGCAAAACTGGATAAGCCACAACCTGGCTGGGTGACCTGGGGCAAGTCACTTAATTGCTCTGTGCCTCACTTTTCCCATTTGATAAATGGTTGTTGTGCGGCTTAAATGAGACAACGTGGGTAGAGCTCTAGTACAGAGCTTGGCATTATTTATTATGGGCGTTGTTGTTATTGTTATTATTATTAGATGCTTAAGCCTCTGGAAGGGGTAAGTGATGAGAATGAAAACCCTCTCCAACCAGGGGGAGCTTAGACTATCAGAATAGGAAGGCTCACTTTTCAGGTGGGGAAACTGAGGCCAGAGGGGACATTTAGGCACCTGGAACAGCAGGAGCAAGGGCTCTGGTGAGCGGAGTCTTGGGCTCAGATCCAGACTCCACCATGAATGGCTGTGTGGCCTTGGGGTTACAGGCCTCAGTTTCCTCATCTGTAGAAAATGTGGCTCATCACCAGACCCAGCAGAGATAATGGCAGGGACACATCCTGCCCGCGGGGACTTAGAAGGTGCTGAATAGAGGTTTCCTCCCTTCTCCCTGGAGGTGCTGACAGTTTGAGGCAGGGTGGGGACCAGAATCCGCTTCCCAGAGTCCCCAGCTAAAGCACTTGGGGAATTCGAGGACCTCAGCAGGACTCTAAGATTGGCGCTCCTATATCCCAGTTTCTGGGGGAAATGTTCTCAGGAAGAGCTGCTGCGCTGCTGGGTCCAGTGACAGCTTCACATTTTTTGGCGGTAAAAATGCTTGGTGGCTGACTGGGCTCTAGATAAGAGTTCGAGCTCAGGAGGAAGTCCTAGACAGTCTCCCCAGTCCACTTGTGAATGCAACTGGGAATAGATACAGGCAGTGGGGGAGTTCCCCTGGGGCACTGGCACACTGGGCTGGGGACAGGACCAGCCTCCTGCTCAGAGCCCTGCATCTCCCTTTGGCAGCAGATCCATGCCTTTACCTCTTCCCAATTAATATCAGCTTTTAGGAACAGATCTGTGGTTCATTCAGACTAAAGTGTCAATGACTGATGGCAAAAACTTTTTGCCTCTCAGTTCACAACAAAAGCTAAAATAAAGTGAATGAGTGAGTGAGTGAGTGAATGTCAAAGGATGCAACCTGAGGTAGCAGTAAGTGTGTAAGATGGGAGGGGAGATATTTCAGACCCCTGAAATCAGACTAACTTAGTGGCTTTAGAGGCAGAATTGAAAGGGAATCATAGTAGCACATGGCCCTGGGCACCAGTCCTGCTGGGGACTCTCCCACCTCTGTCAATAGGTCCCAATCTGCCTGCCCTCTGAGAGACGGAGGAGGTCGCCCAGGAAGGGAGAATAAATAAAGAGGTAGGGTCCACCGTCTCCTGATAGCCATCTCAGCAGGGCAGCCGGCTCCAGGGCAACGGGCATGTTCCAGCCATCATGATGGATCAGCCTGCCTGCTTGGCTACCTGGTGGTATGGTGGGTGAAACTTCCTTCCCTCCTCCTCACAGCCCAACAAACAAAAGCTAAGGAGGCAGGCACTTGAAGAAATGCATGTTGACATTTTTATTAATCCGAAAGGAGGTGACCAGTCACCTGGAACATTTTCAGAGGGGACATCAGTGGCCCCCAACAGCCCCAGCAGCAGTTCCAGCACTTCTCACACTCAGTGCCACTCTGAAGACTTGCTCCCCACCCTCCCCATCTCTCTTCTGTGCCCCCTCCCCTCTCTACCCTTTTCGGGGGAGCCTCAACCCCGGCCGCACACCCTTAGCCCCTGAAGATCTCCCTCTTCCTCTTGGCTCAGTCTAGGTTTCTCGTGATTATGATCAGAGAGTGAGCAGGTTAGAGCAGGGGCTTTCCTCCAGTGGGGTTCCACAGAGCCTTCTGGAAGGGGAGGTTTCAAGTACACCACCTTCTCCACCCTAAACCAGAGCGGTTCCATTTTTATCAGTTTCACATGTTGGGTTTCCAGGTAAGCGTCTGATTACTGTGCTCCACGGCTAATAGAGTTTAGCAGCAGCTGGCTCAGTTTAGGTGTCACCAGGGGCCACTTAAAACCCCAAGGTGAAAGCCCAGGGGATGGGGGCTCCTGAGATGGTCCCACAGGTGGGGAAAGAGAACAGGCCTGCTCCCTGCTTCCCATGCCTGGGGCAAGGGCCACCTCTCACCCTGCCCTGGCCAAGCCTGCCCGCCTGCCTGTGCTTGTCCTGGTGGCCTCCTCCAGGGCTGGACCCCTGTGGCAGCTCCATCTTCCCTTCTATAAGAGGGGACACAAGGCTGTCACTGGGGTTTGCTCCCAGGTGAAACCCAAGCTCCACTCCGGGTCTCGGGGTTGCTGAGAGAGCCCGGGCGAGCCTTCCCCTCCCACCGCCTGCAGAGGGAAGGGGAATAATTAGAGACTATTAAAGGAAATTAAACCCCACCTTCAGAGATAACCTAATGGCCCCCCACCCTCTTCTAACATCTGGGCCCCTCCCTGCTACATCTGGAACAGCCGGCTGCCTTCACATGCAGAGTCCAGAATCCGAGGCCTAGGAGCCCAGGACGCGGAGGCCAGGCCCACCTTGTGTCCTTGTGCCCCGGCCTTCTCTGCCATCCTGGCATCCCCCCTCCTGCCAGACCATCCTTCCTCTGCTGCCCTCCCCCAGGCCTCACTTTGACCTGGGAGCATTTTTGAGCCGGAAGAAGCCAGCACTGGTAATTAAAGGCTTTCCAAAGAGATAACGAGCACCCTTCTGAGGCCAGAGTCAGGCATTAAAGGGTTTTGTAGCCTTTTTTCTTTTGAAAACAGGCTCTCTGAAGCTGGGTTTTCCTGCCCTTATTTGCCTGTGTAAATACAGCTGAGGGTGCCAGAAGGTCACAGCCTGCGGATCCCTGCAGGAGAGGATGGCTCAGGTCCCCGGTCTTACAGGAGCCACAGGTGGCCTAGACCCAGGACCCTCACACCAGAGCCCAGGCTCCCTGGGCCCCGTTCCTGGTGCAAACACACAGGGCCTGTCAGGACAGAGCGGGGACAATTCAAAGTGGGGCACCTGCCGAGGCCATGCGCTGCCATCCTTGGACACCCTAGAGCGCTGATCTTCTCCAGACTCTGAGAGCTGTGGATGGGGAGGGGGAGAGGGGAGATTGAAGGGGGTCCTTCTTGGGCGGGGTGGGCCACTCCAAAGGTGAGGATGTGTGGTGTCCGTCCCTGGGTCCCGGTGCCCATGGTGGGCAGCACACTTGCAGGCCCTTGGGGGCTGTGCCCAAGGCTCCCCCAAGAGGATGGAGGCCAGGTAGAGGCTCCTCGTTTTCACTCTGGCGGGGTTTCCAACAGGTGGACAGAGAGAATGGCGGGTGGGGAGCAGGCTCAGGGCACCATGCGCCACCACTTGAAGGAGAAGGGCTGCCGGCGCACGTTGGTCCCGCAGTGGATCTCCCCGAGCAGCTTGTGGTAGGACAAGTAGTCGTCGATGAAGGTGCAGTGGAGGCCCAGCGGCTCCAGCAGGGACCGCACCTTCTCCTCCAGGCAGCAGCGGCCGTTGATGATGGGCCCGAAGGGCTTGGGGATGCCCAGGTACTTGCCTAGGACCACCATGTTGACCTGTAGAAGAGACAAGGCAAGAGGGAGGCCCAGCTGGCTGGGGACACTTGGCACATGGGGGCACCTCTGGCCTGTGGCTCTGGCAGACCCATCCCCAGGGCCTGTCCCATTCTGGCCAGCATCCCTGGGCCACCAGGGCTTAGGTTCCCTCATGAACCAAGGTCTATGGAAGCAGAGATGAAACAGATTCATGGTTGGAAGAGGGGACTAACAACCCGTCAGTAACGTACATGGGAAATTTGTATAAATTAGAGACCCACCTTCCTCTAACACTGTCTTCCATCTATCCAAAAATTGTCATAATAACTCAGTTAGAACAAGATTTTTACCATCTGTCAGAAACCTGTACAACAAATNTACAGCTGAGGGTGCCAGAAGGTCACAGCCTGCGGATCCCTGCAGGAGAGGATGGCTCAGGTCCCCGGTCTTACAGGAGCCACAGGTGGCCTAGACCCAGGACCCTCACACCAGAGCCCAGGCTCCCTGGGCCCCGTTCCTGGTGCAAACACACAGGGCCTGTCAGGACAGAGCGGGGACAATTCAAAGTGGGGCACCTGCCGAGGCCATGCGCTGCCATCCTTGGACACCCTAGAGCGCTGATCTTCTCCAGACTCTGAGAGCTGTGGATGGGGAGGGGGAGAGGGGAGATTGAAGGGGGTCCTTCTTGGGCGGGGTGGGCCACTCCAAAGGTGAGGATGTGTGGTGTCCGTCCCTGGGTCCCGGTGCCCATGGTGGGCAGCACACTTGCAGGCCCTTGGGGGCTGTGCCCAAGGCTCCCCCAAGAGGATGGAGGCCAGGTAGAGGCTCCTCGTTTTCACTCTGGCGGGGTTTCCAACAGGTGGACAGAGAGAATGGCGGGTGGGGAGCAGGCTCAGGGCACCATGCGCCACCACTTGAAGGAGAAGGGCTGCCGGCGCACGTTGGTCCCGCAGTGGATCTCCCCGAGCAGCTTGTGGTAGGACAAGTAGTCGTCGATGAAGGTGCAGTGGAGGCCCAGCGGCTCCAGCAGGGACCGCACCTTCTCCTCCAGGCAGCAGCGGCCGTTGATGATGGGCCCGAAGGGCTTGGGGATGCCCAGGTACTTGCCTAGGACCACCATGTTGACCTGTAGAAGAGACAAGGCAAGAGGGAGGCCCAGCTGGCTGGGGACACTTGGCACATGGGGGCACCTCTGGCCTGTGGCTCTGGCAGACCCATCCCCAGGGCCTGTCCCATTCTGGCCAGCATCCCTGGGCCACCAGGGCTTAGGTTCCCTCATGAACCAAGGTCTATGGAAGCAGAGAAGAAACAGATTCATGGTTGGAAGAGGGGACTAACAACCCGTCAGTAACGTACATGGGAAATTTGTATAAATTAGAGACCCACCTTCCTCTAACACTGTCTTCCATCTATCCAAAAATTGTCATAATAACTCAGTTAGAACAAGATTTTTACCATCTGTCAGAAACCTGTACAACAAATATACCGTCCACACGGTCTGCGGTGTGAATGTCCTTGCAGGGGTGGTGCACTTGTTCGGTACACAGTTTGCTCAGCTGTCCCTGGAAGTCCTGATAATTATTACCATTTATTGAGCATCTACTATGTGCCGGATACATCATACTAAGCCTCACAGCCTTCCTCTGAGGCTGTGATTTGGACAGGTTAAGCACCATGATCAAGGCCACACAGGGAAGCGGGAGACTGGAACTTGGGTTGGGTCTGACTCATACCAAAACTCATGTTCTTTACCCTCTGCCAGAAGGTAGCACTGTGGCAGCCTGGGGCTGAGTAGTTGGGGCAAGGGGCTGGGAGCCATTGGGGGCACGTAGGTTTATCTCTGGTGGCATCTCTGCTTCCTTATTTGGGGGCCCTGGCTGGGGACCTTAGAGGTTGGGGAAGGGCGGTCTCCCCAGCATAGGGTGTGGAGGTTTCTTAGAAGAAAGCTCAGCCCCAGCTTGGTGGCCAGAGGAGCTGCTCTTGGTGTTTAAAAGGGACATTCTGGACATGTCTAGAGGGTAGTGCTGGGTCATCTCAGTGTGGGGCGGGCTGCCCTGGGCTCTGTGACCTCACGTTCCCCAAGCCCTAGGCCCTCGCTCTCAAGTCTGCCCCACAGAGCTGTCTAGGCTGGAACAAACATTAAGCTGGAAGGGTCTCCTGGGGTCAGTCCATGGCCTTGGCCCTGAGCTACCTAGTTGGTCGCTAAAGGGCCCAGCATTCCATGCCAGGGTAGGAATGGGGCCAGGAAACTAAGGGGAGGGAGAAGAACCGGGAGCCGGATTCAGGATCAGAGCCAGCCCAGGTGGGCTCCCTCCTCAATGAGGATTCAGGAGACTGGGGGCTGGCCCGCTCACTCCCTGGGGACCTCATGCAAGCTAACCACTCTCCTCTGAGGGCTTCAATTCCCCCATCTGACAAATGAGGGGTTAACTGAGCATTCCCTAAGGGCCCTTCCAGTGAGGACAGACTGGGGTCCTTTAGCAGGGCCTGGACGGAAATTGGGAGGTTCCCATAGAGAGGTGTGTGTTGGGGAGCAGGCTTCCAGCAGGTGTGGGCAAGGCCACAGCCAAAGGAGGGCTGACCGAGGTCATGGGCTCCCTCCCAGGCCTTACCAGCAACCCTCAGCCAGAACCAGAGCTGGTCAAACCTTAGAACTTTGCTGTCCAGTACAGTAGCCACTAGCCACCTGTGATTGTTAAAATTAAAATTAAAGAAAGGAAAAATTCTGTTGATCAGCCACACCAGCCACATTTCAAGTGTTCACTAGCCTCATGTGGCTCAGTGGATCCCACGTCATATTGTACATATATAGAGCATTTTTATCACCCAGAAAGCTCTCAGCTAGGGCATTTTGCCCCCCAGGGCATTTTTGGTTGTCACAATAGGGGGGTGCTACTGGCATCTAGTAGGTAGGGGACGGAGATCCCTACATCCGTTCCCAGGGGAATAATAGGCACTTTGGCCAGGACTGTGCCGATAGCATCGCTCAGGCCCCTCCCAGGGGCCACGCTAGTGAGCTCACAATCTCTCATCTGCTTGTCAGCTGCCGAGTTAATGACAGCCAGGGAGGCGGCTGAGCCTGCCCCACCTGTGCCACTCTGGACCCCCACTGGGGGGCAGAGCAGGCAGCTGAGGCCCTAAAACGGAAACCTGAAACATTTGGAACCAAACCACACTTCCTTTTTCCATTTGGGAAATAAATGGCCTGAGTTTCGGGGGCTGCCCTGTGCCTAGGGGATGTTTGCAGCATCCCGGCCCTCCCCCCACTGGATGCTGGCAGCGCCCCCCTCACTGTGGCGATCCAAATGCCCTGGAGGGCTCAATGGCCCGGGTTGAGGACCACCGATGGAGACGTGTTTGCACAGCAAGCACACTAACACGGGAGAGACGTGCGGGCGCCCCAGTTTCTGTGTTATCCCTGTACAGGCAGCCCAGCTGACCCCCCGCCAGGCCCCTGCCAGGCCCAGGAACCGGAAACAACCCCAGGCTCTCACCATGTCCGGGAAGAAGGCTTCTGCGTAGGAGCCCTTTAGGTGGAAGAGCTGGGGGATGTCCACGATGTCCCTCTCCGTCAGGCCCAACTCCCGCTTCAGCACCTCCCGGTTCCAGTCGATGCATTTCTGGGGGAGCCAATGAGGATCTGGGCATGCTGAGTACCTACTATGTGCAGCCTCTGTGCCCTTTAGCTCCTTTGATCTCTGTGCCATTGCTACCCCCGGAGGGGGAAACTGAGGCTCAACTGATCTGCCCTAGGGCACAGAGCTAGGAAGTGGTAGAGCTGGGGTTTGGACCCAGGCAATTTCTGGTTCCAAAAGTCCTGGCCACTTCAGCACAGTGTCCCAGACACAGTGTGGCTTATGCTCCAGGCATCTCAGCAGTTTACGAGAAAGTAGGGAGAAGCAAGGGGCTTCTTCCCTTTTACTGAGCGGGAGGCCAGCCTGCACCAGGCATGTGACAGGCATTAGCCCTGCCCGCTCCTGAGACCCCAGTCCGCTCAGTCTCTTCACCTTGACTCCTTGGAGATCTCCTTGACTCCCCCCCCACCACATCCCAGGGCCCTATTTCTCCACTCATCTCACCAGGCTTCTCCAGTGAGAACTCAGTTTTGCTTCCCTGGAAACCTGCCCTTTCCCTAGAGCAGGGCAAGACCTCCCTCATCAGATTGGCATGGCTGTGTCTCTTCCATCAGACTGTGGGTTCCCAAGGGCAGAGGCCCTACCCTACCCATAGGTCTCAGCAGCCCTGAAAACAGGCAGAAACTCAGGGTTGAACCCCTCACCCCACCCTAGCTGTTCTCCCTGGAGGATGGGGGCCCCCAAGAGCAGGCAGAGGGCCTGCCCCTCACCTGTACAAAGGCACTGTCGCTCTGGAGGCTCCTGTCTGCCAGCATTTCATTAATGCTTCTCGCCACCTGGTCCTTTAACCCTGCAAGAGAAAGAGACAGTACATGGGCTCAGGGAGTACTTCCCTGGGACCACCTTGGACCCAGGGCTTCAGAATCTGGGACAGAATTTCCCTCCACCTCAGTGCCAGGGTCTGGAGCAAGGATGGAGAGAGACAGAAACTGGAAACCCTGATGGGACCAGCTCTGGCTGCAGGTAAATCCTGGGGATGGATCATAGACCCCTTGGAAAGGGACTCCTGGGCTCAGGGCCTAATAATTTCAGTATAGCTACCGTTATTGAACACCCACCATTCTCTGAGACTCTTACTGAATTTATTATTAACCTTTAAAACAATGCTAGATAGGGTTATCTCCCCCAATTCAGAAAAGAGGAAACTGAAGCACTGAGAGGTTCAGAACACACCCGTGGTGTCACAGCCAGCAAATGGCAAGACCTGGATTTGAACCCAGGTCTATCCAGGGCACAGGCTACTCCACATCCCTTCCAGTGTTCCATTCCTCAGGTGAGAGCACTGAGGTCTGTGGTGGAGAAGGGAGAGGTTCTCAAGGGGGCCAACCAGGCCCTTGGAGGGTCTGTCAATCCCCAAAGGAGGGTCCACAGAGGGGCCCTGACCACCCCCCTGGCTTCTGGCCCCTCCTCCCTTGGGCCCCCAGCCCTGCACGCCCTGGAAGGGCCACTTCTCTCGGAGTCTCGGTTTCCTCCTTTGTGGAAAGGGATGGGGAGAGGCATGCAGGAGATCCGAAGGAGTGAGAGCTAGAAAGTGCGGGCACAGACTGGCACGAGGGAGCACCCATCCCTTGCTGCTCTTTCCTCCCCTGAGGTGTGGCCAGCAACTGCCCACTGCATGGAGGGGTCACGCCCTCGCCTCTCCCCAGGCAGATGGCCAGCCTCTCAGCTTCCCTCCCCTGGCCCGAGAGAGGGGGAGCCCTCCCCCTCAGCTCCCACATGGAGGAGCCAGGAGAATCAGCGACATCAGGCTCTGAGCTCAGAGATCTGCCCACAAAGGGCCCTGTACACAGGGCGCAGTCAGGAAAGGCATCGGCAGTGCCTGGGGCTGGCAATGAGAGGGCAGTGTCCTCTCAGGACGCAGGGGCCATTGTCACTCACCATCAAACTGGGCCGCCTCCCCGTGGCCCTCGTCTTTCTTCTCTTGGAACAGTTTAAGGCAAACGCTGGGGCTCGCCAGGAGCAGCCGGAAGCCCTGGCACAGAGGGAGGGAGACCGCTCAGTGCACGGCCCCCCGACGTGCAGGGGTCTCAGGCTCAACAGGGGCCTGAGTTTAGAGGCCGGCTGCGCACGGGACATTGCTCGCCACCCCACTCTCACCCACCACACAGAGAGCTGTCAACAAGTCCTCCAGGCTGCTTTGTGCCTCCGGGCCTCTGTCCATGACATTCTCCCTGCTTGGAGGCCCTTCTCCACTCTGTCCACCTGGACCTCAGCGCCCCCCCTCCCCCCCCCACCAGGCTGCTTGCTCCCTGAGGGCTGTGCCCTCCATGGCCATCTGTAAAGGCGGTGAGCTGAGGGGTTAACATATTGGCCCTGAGCCCACTGTCTGGGTTTGAATCTTACCCTACCTGCTAATTGCCCTCCTGATCCTCACCCACAAAATGGGGGCATTGATAATAGTACTGTACCCACTTCATGAGGATTAAGTGAATTAAAACATGTACATATAGTCCGGTGCTCAGTAAATGTTACCAATGATTATCAGTGTCATTTTGCCAGGGTCTTGGCCAAGAAGTGTGGATCAGATGGAACACCCGGTAAGCGTGAGAATGAGTGTACGAGCAGTGAGTGACTGAGTGACTGAGTGACCTCCCGACCTGAGCTCTGACCTCCTCCAAGAAGTCCTCCAAGATTAATATCCCCTGACCCCAGGGGTACCCTCACTCAGAGTTCAGTATGGATACAAGTGTTGAGTTGGTTCTAAGTAGCTTTGGCCTGTTTCACCCCATCAGGTCAGGCAAGGGTAGAGGAGAGGGGGCACACCTTTCTGTCGGAGGTGGGCACAAAGGTCAGGAATTCGTCCACATGGCCCACGGAGAGCCA